CTCTCCTGGAGGAACGAAGGGGCCACATCCTGACTCCCATTACATCTTTTGATCTCAGCAGCCTGCTCTCACCAACCAGAGCACAGCGGGTCCGTGCTGAGCCAGAGATACAACCCTGCTTCCTTGATGAACCCGCTGGGGTCACGCTGTTACAAGCAGCCACTAGACAAGTTCTGTCAGAGGGAAGGGACGTGGACTTCAGCTCACACTCTTATCATCTGCACTAACGGAGTTAATTTGCTTTAGCATCTCTCCTGGGAATGTCTCATTCTCCTTGACCACGTGCCTGGGCCACGGTTTTGCTTCCAGGGTGCTTCCACCATGGGATGGCTCTACCTTGTATGTTCCCAAAGCTGAGATCAGCTCCACGTCTGCACGGCTGCAATCTCCTGCTCGTGGTAAAAAAATGCTCCTAACATTCATTCCCTCCTGACTTCCCACCACCTGCAAGCCCTGCTCTGCCTTAACCACCAGTATTTATCCTCACAACCGTATCCAGCTGAGCATTTGTTAGCTTGCAGAGCTTCCCCTGTCTCCGATACAGATCAAACAGAAGAGTTGCAAAGAGAGAGACCTGTCAGCGTGAAAGAGAAGCTGCAAAGGTTGGTACAACAGCAAAGGTCACGCAGGGGAATGCAACAGGAACAAACAAACCCTTTGCAGTGCTCTATAGGCACTTTACCAGATGGAGAATGTCAAGAGGGCAGTCATAATTTAGAAAAGGCAAAAGATGTCAATGACTATTCATGATCTGTCTTGGAAACAGAAATTTGTTCGTGGTTTCTGGGATACAAAGCGATTTCTGCATGTTGGAGGATGGCAGAACCAACTGTCTTGCCCTGGGCACCATCTGGGTACTCCCAAAGCAAATGGGTTGAAAACTCAGCCAAAGAGATCCCTAACTCACTGCTGTTAGTTTTTAATGTAAACTGGGCTAGTTAAATCCTAAAATGATGCAGAGCTGCTCCATGCCATCTCCTCTGCTCTGTAGCTCAGGTAGCACCATCAAGGCAGGTCCTCCAAGCCCATTTTTAGGTCAGTTATAATTGGGAAGCCTCGTGTGGAGCTATGAAACATCAGTTAATACGCTGGAACTATCTAGTTAAATGCCAATTATAAAAGCCCATAAGCTCCTCAACTCAAATATATTAATAACATAATTAAACATTTATTGCTTATGCAAATTAAAAGTTAAGTTAATCGGACATCAACGAAACCCCAGGAAGTGACCATTTAAGTAACTAATTTCTATTTAATTATGATTCCTCCCTATTACCAAGCCCCCATGCCATTATTTCTGGACAGCTCTGTGGTGTTTACCATTCAGACTTTGCATTCCCACTCTGGTATCTATTCATAATCCCAGGCAGCTGCTACATTCATGTCACAGCCATGGAGCTGGCACAGCTGGCAGCAGCTGGACTGGGTGCCCCTGCTTCTCCTCCCACCTCTTATTGGTTAAGGAAGGGCACAGTCAGGGTTAAATCTCCAGATCCTACATGGGAAGGGGGATGAACTTGTGGGAAGGCACCTGGTGGGGATAGCAGCTCCTGTTGGTGTAGATCCCATAGGCTTTAGTCCTGAGTGCCCCCCAGAACCTTGCCCCAGGTTCCCTGCACACTTTTGATGCCGTCACACCTCCTTATCACCACCAGGAAGGGCACTTCTTAGCCCAGCAGGGTTATCATGACCCTCGGAGGATGAGTGTTTCATGATGAGCTCGGCTCCTCGGGTGGACAAAGCTGTGTGCCAGCTGAAAGCCCCCATTCATTATTATTGCAAAGCAGTAATTGAAAGGGCCGGGAGCTAGAGCAGGGCGACAAAATGAGGCCAGGAGATGGGAAATGAAGCATTTCGTTCCTCGAGGGATGGAGATGTTCCCCTGTGAGCCGAGGCTGTGAGGCCAGGGCCATACGGATGGGCTCCCTCCCCTGGTGCGACAGGCAATCAGTTAAAGCTGACAGGTGTGAAGTTGGCAATTTTCTTTTCAAACCAGTGTGATAAACAGGCTGGTGGGAGTTTGAGAGGAGCAGGGAGAGATAAAGGGGAATGGAGACATGAGGGCACCTCTCCCCGTGGGGTGGGCAGATGGATTGGCCTCTCCAGTGGCTGTACCCATCAACCAGGACCTTTTGAGAACTTGGGTGATGCAACATTTTTATCATATATTTAAATGTTCGGCTTATTTATGAAGTGCCTTGTTGGGAGGAGGAGCCCTTGCCTTCTGCCAGGCACCACGGAGGGCATCTGAGGCACAGCAGCACTTTGTGGTGCCGCAGGTCCCCCAGCTGGAGTGCATTTGCATAAAGCAATTTCCTCTCACAAATATGTTCATTCAAATCAAACTCAAGTTTGCAAATAATGTGAAACCATGGAAAAAAAAAAAATAAAAATTAATCAAACAAAGTTGTTGCTACAGATAATTCACCCTGCTCTGAGCCAGCAAATTTCTCCTGGTTCACCTTTTGGAAGACCTGGCAATACGTGCGACCTTGGGTGATCCACCTCCAACCTCTTGCCTCCCAATGAATGAGTCAATGACTCTGACCCAATCCATCCCAGCACTCCTGGAGCTGCCACCCCTTCCAACCTGCCATCTCCCAGTCTTCCTGCCTCCTTCCCTGCCTGCTGGCCATCGTCCTTCTGACACTTCTGAGTGTGCCATGCATGTGGATTCCTGTGAGATCCACCTGTCTGCAAGCATGCTCCCAGGTGCCTGTGTCCAGAGCTGCCAGGCAGATCACCTGCTAATTCCCTCCTTATGCTTGGCTGCGTCTCACTCTCACTCCTTGCAAATCCTGCTTAGGTGATGTTAATCTATGGGGGTGGAAATAAGCATAACTCCATTGTAGTCAATCACTGGATGTGCTCACACCCAGCTCCGATGGCTCCGTGCCTTCACCATGAACATTTCAGCCCTGTGCTCTGTGCACAGCTGGTTCCAGGCAAGCACATCTCCATTGCTTGCTCTGTGCTGGGCTGGCAGAACTCACTCCCCTTGCTCAACCCCACTGTCCTACCGGGCTCCTCCTCTGCCTCTCTGCTGACTGACAGCGCTCTGAAGCTGCTTTGTAGCCAGCGGTGCTGGCCTGCAGAGATGTGGCTTTGAGAAGAGATCCAAGCCACGCTGCCATCATTCCATGGGCTACATGCATTGCTGGCATTCCTGCCCCCAACGTGTTTCTGTTTTGTTCCAGAGGAACATAATACTTAGGGGCGCTGCATGGGAGTCAGCTCCCGCTGCGTTCAGCTCTCTGCAACCTGAGCTGCTAAGAAGAGGCCCCATGCAATGCAATGGGTTTTATCCATCACTGCTAAACTGTGGCAGACACGGCCTGGGAAATCTATGCAGCATTTCCCAGCAGGACCATGGGGCAAAGGCAGCCCCTCGTGTCTTTCTTTCCATCCCATGTGCTGAAGTTGGGTGCAAAGATGCTTCCCCAGAAGGATTCTCCAAGCCAGAGGCATGGCAAAGCGCCTGTTGATACCTGCACAAGGAAGAGTGTGCATATTTCCTCTGATCTCTCACTTCCTTTGTCTCTCACTCTCTTGCAAAAGCCTGAGACTTGCAGAGCTGCCTGCCTTGATCTTTGGGAACAAGGCTGTCTGTGTAGCACAGCAAGGAAGCTGGAGGAAAGGGAAAAGGCAAACTGTTCTTTCCAACGCAGAGATCAGTCACTGAAATGCAGGGATGCAGCCTGACTGATCTTTCCTTCCAATGGGCCCTTGGCATCCCAACAGCATTCAGTAGGTTTTGCTGCATGATTGCTATGGCAGCCAGGTGCTGGACTACAGGCACATCCTATCCATCCTACCACATCCTATCACATCCTTCCACACTCTACACATCCTACCAATCCTAGCCAGCCAACCTATCCTATCACATCCTACACACCCCACCAATCCCACCCATCCGACCCATCCTACCCACCCCACCAATCTTACCCATCCTAAACCCATCTGAGCAATCCTATCAGTCCTACACACCTCACCAACCTTACCATCTGAGCCATCCAACCAATCTTATCCATCCTACCACCTCCTCCCACGTCCTGCCAACCCTACCAATCCCACCCATCCTACCAACCCTACCTATCTGATCTATCTGACCACATCCAACCCATCCTACCTATCCGACCCACCCAACCCATCTGAGCCATCCTACCCACCCCACCACATCAACTCAAGGCTGGCACAGCCCAGTCCCATTGCAGCTGACTGCACATAGCTAGAGAAGATGTAAGGCAGAGCAGGTGTGACACTTCTGCAATAACCTGTCCCCTCTGCTACAGCTGGCAGCAGCTGAAGGACTTCCTGAGCTGGAAAATGTCAGAATTTTTAATAGACTTTGATAGATTCTTTCTGCCATGGGCAAAAACACTTCTCAGCTCAGCCAACCTGTTGGCCTCAGCAGCATCCTTTGACGAGGAACCTCGCTGTTTACACTGAAGGGAGAAAAAAACCTCTCCCCCTTCCTTTATTTTGAATCTACCGCCCAAGACTTTCACATAATACCACCAACGTCAGTGGCAAAACCCATCATTCCCCATCCTCCTTCTCCTTGCTGCTTTGGAGATCCCTTAAGCCTCAGCCTTCTGCCTTCATCTACAAAGCAGCTCCCATTGCCAAACACAGTACATCACAGGAACAGACCTGGCGGTGCTACTTCTGCCACTGCCATTGCTCACAGCTCCCAGCCCAGGATGCGGAACCACGCGGTCGCAGAGGCACAAAGAGAAGAGAAGGTTTCTTTTTCTTTTAAAATTCTTTATTTATAAAAAAGTACATTTTTTTTTTTTTCTTCCACAGCTGAGCCACTATTGTCTGTCATCTTTTTTTTTTTGTTTTTTTCCTCTTGTTTTATACAAGTAAAAGGAAGGGTGCTGCAACACCCTGCCCACACAAATTATAACCATGAAAACGCACCCCTCCCTCCCCCGGACCTCAAACAAATCATTACAAAGGATGGAAAACAACAAACAAACAAACAAACAAAATCATAAAAGTCCATTACGTTATTTTATTTTATTTTTATTTTTTTTTTTACAAAAGCACTTACAGCACAGATTACAAAAAAAAAAAAAAAAAAAAAAAAAAAAAAGGGAAAAAAAAATCAGAAAGAAAAAAGAGAAAAAAGCAGGGTTGGGGTCGTTTGTCCGTTCCGTTATTCCACAATGATAATTACAGCAAGAGGGAGAAGAAAGAGAGAGAAAAACAATCACTGGAGTTTAAGGAGCCACTTTAAGGAATAAAACAATCAAAGAAAAGAACTGATCCTCAGTGAGGACGTCTCCCCCACTGCTGCTTTGTGCCACCGAGGGTCTGGCTCCTTTTGCTCCCTACATTCACCCCAGGTGCGTCACACATGCAAGGCACACAGCTCCCACAGGGTCTCCATCCCCATTCCTGCAATGCATCCCCCACCTTCTGCCCTCTGCAGCTCATCCTCTGCTCCCAGAGCCTCGGGGTGCTCACATCTCCATGCACGTGCACTGCTGTCTGCGGGCGCAGGGGAAAGAAAAACAGCCCAGGAGTGCAGCAGCCCCTCGTTAATTTCGTTCCCTTCTCTAATTGCTTGAGGATCAATCTTTGGAGCCTCTCTCCCTGCAGCCCTCAGGGATTTCTGCTGAACTGTTGTTATTTTATTTTTTTTGGGCTCCACATCAGGAAAATGCCTCCCTCTGTCCCTTATTGCAATCAATGCTACCATTGGAGTCTGATTAGTTTTTTATTTATTTATTGAAGCTAAAGAAAACTTCAGGGTTTTGGAGGATTTTTTTTTTTTTTTTTCTTTTTAACCTTGACTGGATGAAAATGATTGAGCAAAATGGAAAAAAAAAAAAAAAAGCACCTTGTAATTAAATAAGTGAAAATAATAACAGCACTGGGGTGGATTGCAATGAATAACATGAGAGGGAAATGCCAGCAGAACAGTCTGCACATAAAGAGGGGGCTTATTTGGGGCTGTGACCCTGGGCACACACAGGGAGTGATGCTCTGGCTGCATCAAGGCAGCTCTCAGGTGAAACATCAATCTGCAGTGTTGTCTTGGTTTGGTTTTTTTTTCTCCTCCTACCTTGCTATAGATGAACGGCTAATCAGCTCGCTAATTACCACCCCAATAAGTCTTTCGCTCAATTAGCTGACCTTGCAAGGAACAGCAAGAAGCAAAATCATTGCAACTCCAGTGTGATGCTGGAGGAAGCAGGGGTGAGGAGCAGAGGGAAGCACTGTGCACTTTGCATGGCATAGCACCCATGTTGAGCCTGTGGGTCTCTGGGTGGAAAATCCTCACCTGCCCCCCTTCTGAGCCACATCATTGTGCTCCTGTGGCTGAGCTCCTTCCTAGACCTGAGCTGCTGCATTGTCTGCACTGATATGGAACAGCAAAAGGTGAAGCTTGGCAGCATCTGGCTTGGAGATCCCATATTGCTGTGCTATCTCCTTTCTCTGAGCCTCCTTGTTTCTCCATACCCCATGTGGCTAACTGTAAGCACTGTCTGTGGATGGGAGATCTCCAAACATGACACCTTTAAGTGAAGGCTCACGGCTGTCAAAGCGTATTTCCTTGCAAGTCTCTACCTTGGGCACCGTCCCACCACCCAGGTCTGCATGCCCTCACTGCAGCACATCACACCCAGGGTCTCTGGGACACAATTTCACTGCAGGCTAAGCTCCCACTGGCAGAGCATCAACAACCCTGGGGACATCTGGACCCACAGCACCACGCAGTGCAAGACTGGACCTCCTGGGACTAAGATGGCATGTGAAAGAATCACTGCTGGACACAACAATTTGCAGGGTCAGAGATTGCATCCCCTTCATTGAGGACACAGAGCTTCCTGTGGCACGGGGCTGCTCTGCCAGAAGCCAGGAAGCAGGGAGGGCTGGCAGGAACAGCAGAAAGATTACAGAGCAGCAATCGGATTTCCCTCTCCTGCTCACCACTAACGCAATAAAAGTGAGCTGCAGCCTGTAGGTATGAGCTGCGTTGCCTGGCCTGAGCCCTGCGTGCATGGATCAGAGCCCTGACCTTGGCTCCTCTGCATGGCTCGGGCTCCATGCTCTTGCTCCTGCAGCAGTGTGACACTGGGGAATGAAACCCAATGGGTAAGGCAAGGGGAGAACGAGTCCTGCTGCTTTCAGGTGTGCGTGACAACACAGCTCAGAAAACTGGGGGTTTCTTTCCAAACCAAAAGATTTATTTATACATCAATTAAAAAATAAAAAAAAAATTAAAAAAAAGAGCAATAAGCCCCGACCCAGTGAAGGTGGATAAGGTCAGTGTCAGGTCCTAGTTGCCTGGAATCCCATCTATCCACAGAGCAGAGATAGCAGCAGTCCACAAGGCAGGGGGAAGGAGGATGAGAGCAACACGCCAACTCCCTCCTTCCTTCCTCTCTACCTCCCTATCTACTGAGGCTTTGCTTAGAGGAGGGATGGGGTACTGGGAAAGTGGCAATCAATGCAGGCGAAGCCATACGTCCCCAAATTGCTAAAACAGAGCGAGCTGCCTGCATGCTCTGACTGAAAGAAGGAAGAAAGAAGTGTAAACACACGACGATGAAGTCTGAGTGGTATCATAAAACACAGGGACCCCAAAGCCACGGGTGGGCGGGAGGATGCGCGCCGGTGTGCAACAGGGCTGAGAAGAGCCAGCACCTCTCTGAGCCGTCGCAGAGGGAAGGTCAGCAATAAATACTCCTTGTCTTTCTTTTAAAACATGCTCCAACAAAGGCAGAAATGAAAAGCCAGGAGGGTGATGAACGGCAGGAGGGAAATGGCAGCTCTGTTGCTCCTCGCTGCTATCAGCCCATGCACCTGGGGTTTGTTCGAGGGCTTTCCTTCCCCATGATCCCTGTGTTGAGCCATTGTGACCTGGGAGCAGATCCTCAGTGCAGTGGGAACACCCCATATATCCCACCGAGAGCAATCGCTTCCCCCAATTGTGGCACCTCCACTTCCTTTGCCGTGAGCTTTTCTGCCCCCGGACCCCCTCCCGAGGTTAAAGCAAAGAAAAGACGACGACATACAAACAAATTCCAGTGTTTCAGGGGGGTGGGAGCGGGAGGAGGAGCCTCGGGGGGGCGCTTTGAGACACGGAGACACAAACAGAGTGTAATATACAGGCTGGGCAACAGTCGTTAAAGCAAATAGTAACACCTAAGCCACCGACCAATACAAACACCACAGAAGGGGACGAAAAGTCGTCAAGAGAAATTAAAAAAGCAAAACCAAAACCGAGAAAATAATTACCCGACCTCCCACCTCCCCATCCAATCCTCCCCTCCCTTTCCCCCCCCTCCCTTTCCCCCCCCACCAAACAAATGATCCGTAAAGCAAAGCTGCCCCCGCCCCGAGCCCCCGGTCCGTGCATGGCTCCGCTCGGGGATGCGCGTGAGTGTGTGTGTGTGTGTGTGTGTGCATGGCCGGAGCCGGGGCGAGCCGAGCTACACGTACCACTCCTTTTTGGAAATAAAAGATCCATCATTCTGCGAGACCATGTTCTCTGCTATGTCGAGCTGCTCGGGGTCGTACTGGAAGCCGAGTGTCCTTTCGTCGTAAGGTTCGGGGTGCGCTTCCCCTTCGTCTACCGTGAAGTACGGCCGCTTGGCGTCCTCCTCGTATTTGTTGGGGCCGCCCAGCTTGCGCTCAGCTCCTGCATCCTCATCCTCATCCTCGTAGGTGCTGCCGCCCAATGGGCCCGGCTTCTTCTCGTCGTCCGAGTCGTCGGGGTACTGCAGGTTCTGGGCCATGGGCGGGTGGTGCTGCGGGATGCCGGCTTTGCTGTAGCCGTTGCCGTACACGTGCTTCTTTGTGCTGTAATCACCCTTGAAGGTGTGACGCCGGCGGCGGAGCACCACAAAAAGCACCACGGCCACCACCAGGACCAGCGAGACTCCTCCCACTATGCCCCCGATCACAGGGGTGGGGATGTTCGGCTGCACCATGGATTTGCGATCATCGATTGGAGACGGGGTGTAGGGAAATTCTGGGTAGGAAAAGACAGATGGAAGGGGGAACAGTGTCAAACCATGCGGAAACGCGCCCTCCCGCCGTGCTCTCTTTTTCTTTTTGGGGGGGTGGGAGGGGTGGGGGTGGGTGAGGAGGTGGGAAGATGAGGGTAAGGAACAGGGAAGGGAAAAAACAGGGCAAGGGGAGAAGGGTGCGTCCTGGCAGGGTCAGCACATGGGAGCTCAGTGCCAAGCTCAGCGAGCCGCATGCAGGAGCCCAGCAGCTGGAAGCGGTGTGTCCTTCCCACCCTACCCGGATGTGCTTGGATCCCACATTGCCCAGTGCCACCAGTCCAGGTGCAGGCTGGTTTATGCTCCAACATTTCGGGTCCAGTTTGCCAACGCGTATCGACGGCCCTGGGATGCCCCTGTGCCCACCCCATGGCCACGGTGCTTTGCGTCCCCTCCTCAGCATCCCACCCCATCCTCACCCACAGTGCCACTGCTCACGCTAATCTCATTCCTACAGATACTGTGACCTATTTATATCTATATAAATAACCCAAAGGAGAAGAAGAAAAGAGATGGGAAAGGCGCTCTCTTCCCTTTCATGCAGTTTGACACACGGCATTGGCACAGATAAAGTTTGATCCAGGATTTAAATCAACCCAGCACTTCCTTGGCACAGTTACAGCCCCTGGCCAGACTCAGCTTTCTCTGTCCAAGTGCACATTAAGTGTTGATGTCCAGGCAGCATTGGGCTGCCTCAGTCCTTCACCTGCCCCTGAATTTGGTGAGCAGATGCCAGATTAATGCCCCTTGGCATCTCCCAGCACTGCCAAGGAGGGTGCCCAAAGCCATCCTGCTCAGAGCTATCATTGCTGCTCTGCAGCCTCCTGGCCCGCAGCTTTCACCCCAAGGGCAGGACAAGCAATGTGAGCACAGCCTACAATAAGGGCAGCCAATATGGTTGAGGAGCATGAAAGGAAGCAGAGTCCAAAGGAAGACGAGGCAGTGTCTGCTTTCTGTCCCCTCTGCATGAGCTGGTAGAAATGTGTCCTGATCCAGCCATGTTACTGCACTGGGGCTGGAAGTCCTGAACAAATGAGGGCAATGCAGGGGGTGGCTCTCCCTACATCACATTTCGCCCAGCTGCTGAGGAAGAGAGTGGAAAAGAGCTTCCCCTGGGTACACACAGTTCCAGAAACAGCTGCACAGTTTGGACAAAGGTTCTGAATTCGAGCAACCACCGGCCTGATCTTTTTGGCACAAGCATTTTGCTCGTGCCTGAGAGCTGCTTCACTCCTGCCTTTCCTGAAACATCCCAACGACAGCATCGTGCTTCCTGCAGAGCAAAGCCTCACGAGCCAGCAAGAGGCACAGAGCAGCACGGCGGGCAGCAGGGCTGGGGACAGGCAGCTGGAGGGCTCCCTGCTGCAGCCAGAACAAGGAGAAAGGCACTGCACAGGCAGGAGGCAGCAACTCCTTCCAAAGAGCAGGAATGAGGGAATGCATTTCAGTGCAAGGAGCTGGGCTCGGGAGCTGGGAAGCCAAAACCACATGTTGCTTCAACAGAAGGCTTGTCACAGCCAGCTGCTTAATGCAAAACCTCTTTGCAGAGACAGGAAGGAATGTCACGTCCATCTCCTGGTAGTGCTGCTCAGCTTCAGCCACACACACATCCACACAGCACCCATCCTGCTCTGTGCCAGTTCCCAGCCCAGCCCTGCAATCCCAAAGCCATGCACAGAGCAAGGGCTCACCTGGAGGGCTGCAGGGTTGGAGCAGCAAGCTGGATATGTCCTTGGTGTTTTCCCAGCCCACAGCTCTGATCTGAAGCCTCTTCCTACCTGGCATTACCTAACAGCAAGGCTGGTTTTGTGCAAGGGACCCCACTTTGAAAAGCCTCAGATAGGGCGTGCGCAGAGTCCTTAAAGCCACGCTGATCCCCTCTGCCTCCCAGCTCTGGAAACTGGACACATCCAAAGGGGAAGGCTGTGCACACCTCCAGAAGGAGCTTGACCCACTTTCCCATTGCAAACCTCACTAAAAGCCAATCACAGAGGTATGAAAAGGATGTTTTCCTACCTTTCCCACACATATTCAGTTTCTCATGCCCTTCATGCCACCTCCCCAGAAAACACCCACCTCCATGCCACCCCCTGGTGCTGCAGACACCACCACCATCACACCGTGCTCACAATTCGTGTGGGGAAGGCTCTATTTTCTGTTCAGATCCCATCCCCACCCTCCTCGCAGCCGCCAGAAAAAACAAACCCAACCTGCGGGCAGAGAGGATGGGAGAAGCGAAACGGCAAGCCCAAACCCTCCCAAACAGCTCTCCTCCCTTCACCACAGCCTGGCAACGGGGCTGCAAGGAGGGAAGGGGGGGAGGGCGGTGGGCAATGGGTACAGATGGGGTGAAGGAAGGCGGGGTGGTAGGGAGGGGACGCGTGCCACAGCCGCTGGAGGGCGATGCAGACCGCCGCTGCCCATCCGAGCATCCGAGCGTCCTCCGAGCGCCGATCTCAGTGCGGTGCCCCGAGTGAGGGCGGGCGGGATGCTGCGGGTCCCGCTGGGCACCGGTTCCAATGGATGCTGTTGGCACAGCCGCTCCCTGCCCGGCGTCAGGATGGGTCCCTGCCGCCCACCCACCCGCTTTTGTGTCTGCGGTGTAAAAAGGACCGTAAGCGTGGCGTGAGGGGGTGGGGGGGAAGGAGGGAAGTGTGGGAAAAGGAAAAAACCCCTTTTTGTGCTCGAGGGGTGCGTGAAATTTTTGGAAGCCGGTGCGCTGCCTCTGAGCCCCATGTGAAAAATCCATTAGGAAGAGTCTGGGGAGAATTAAAGCCGCTGTGAAAAGCGGACGGGAGAAACAGGAGACAGCGGAGCATAGGGAGGGGGAACAAGCCAGGCTTTAATGCCGGCACGAAAAGCCTCCCCCTTGCTGCTGCCCTCGTAAAAACAGGGAGTGCTGCATGAATAGGAATTAGAGCAGAGATGCTTGCTGCCCGCTGCTCGCTCTGCCAGCTGTTGCATTCAGCCTGGCTTCCTGTCCCCGTGCCAGCTCTGGGCAGCAGCTGGGAGCCCAGTGACAAGGGACAGCCCTGAGCTTTGCTTTGATCCCATGGAAATAGGGAGTGGGTCCGGCAGCGCCCATGGGTGCAGCAGTGCCAGCCCTGGGGAGATGAAGATGCCAGTATCACCGCAGGGGAGGCTTCAATAGGCCCTGTGCTAAAGCCTCATCTTGCTTTTAATGGCTGGTTTCTGAAGAAAAAGGAGACCTATGCAAATCGTGCTGCCTGTCCATCAATCCTTCCTGTATGGCTTTCTGAACGTGGTGGCCGGCTTCAGCGCTGAGAAGGAGCCAAAATTATCCCAATCACAGTGCTCTTGGAGAGAGCGTGGGATCCCTGGCAGAGATGGGACCTAAACCTCATTAGACATCAGAGAACCCCCTGGGGCAGGACCTGCTCCCAAGGGCAGGAAAGGCCTAGATCAGAAAAAAACATATTTTTAGACACCAAACAATCTTCTTATGATAGGCAGGAAAGCAGCTTTTAAAAGCCCTCCTGCTCGTCGCGCTGCTGAGATATCTTAAAGGTACTGCTTTTGTGGGCACATTTTTTTGTTGAAGTCCCATTTTTATCTCCTTTCCTTCAATCCTAAGGGCCAAGGAAAGAGCTAGCACCAGCCGAGACTCTCAGAGGAGCCAGAGGCATTGAGGCAGATGTCAAACTCCATGAGAGGGTCCCATTTGGACGTGTGTCAGCCCAAGCTGCTCCCTACGTGGAGCTCTGGTTTCCTCCTGCCTGGCCAAGCCAAGCACCTGTTGCAGCACAGCAGGATGGGGAACAGGAACCTGAGAGCTCCCAGCTCCCGGATGCTGTCTGCAAACATGGCAAGGATCGTTGCATTTTATTTCTTTTAGGAGACAGATTGCAGACGGCAGCCTTTCCACCCTCCACACCCAAACACTGCAGGACTTTGACCCGTTCCGTTTGGCAGACCCGTGCATGAGTCAAGGTAGGAGATAGCAGCAGACAGGGCTGTAATTTCAGAGCCTGCTGGCATTGCTGCTCACTCCCTCACAGCAGCCCTCACGCACGCCCATCTCTTGCTCCTAGGGGTCCTGCTTTCCTCCCAGCTGGAAGATTCCTGTGCTGGAATAGGAGGCAGAGGGGCAGAAAAACCACTGGCAAGCAATGCAGGAGTTCAGCAGCTGCTGCGGGTGTGTCAGAGTGTGACGGCTTTCGGGCCGGATGCCAGACATGTCTTAGGCTTTAATCTCTGTGTCAGGTCACCTATCGCCCGTCAATCAGGCACTGCTCCCACTGGCACAGATGCCATCAGATGGGCTGCAGCAAACGCTGCTCACCGCCATCCGCTGGGTCAGCAGCAGGCAGAGCCCCCCAGCCTCAGCCTCCCCAACGGGGCAGCCCTGAGCTGGGCTGGGGATGCAGCTGTTGGGGATGAGACCCTGTGCTCTGTGCACAGTGCTCTCCCTCGTGCTCAGAGCCGTCACAACCCCGCTGGCTGTGTGTGGTGACCTTGCTGTGCTGGCATTGCTGGCGCTGTGTAAATAACTCCCTACTGCGAGCCAAGCTGATTTAGGGGGAGATCCTGCAGCCTCCCTCCCCGTCCTACAGCCAAGGCCAAAGCTGCAGAGCTGCCAGTGTGTGCAGAGCTGATGTGTACACGTGTGCCTAAAGACCAGGAGATGCACATACACTGCTGCACACAGGCACATCTCCATGGATGCGTGTATACTCACACATACCAGCGCACCAGTGCTCATGGCTGTGCAGCAGGGCATCCCCATACAGGCATGCAGCTTTGGAGGGCTACCTGCATTCTGGAACAGATGCAGAAAGAGGGCACACACAGCTGTGTGCATGCATGTGACCTCCTCTCCATGCAGGGCTGCCACGCATGTGCACACAGACCCAGGCAGTCCATACCCGCTGCCTTTTATAATGTCACCCAGCCGCCCATAATAAATAGTTACATGTCACACTACATGGCTTGCTTGCTACTGACAAAGGTCCTGCAAGGCAGGAGAAGCTATTACAGGAACAGATTGCGGGAATAAAATATTAAATTTCCACTTATCAATCTCTTTAATGTGCTATAACTCCAAGAGCATTATTCAGCCTTCTCCTCCTGAACGAATCGCCTCCCAGCCAGGGCTGACCCATCCCTGCTCCTCCTCCCCGGGGCTGGGATGAAGGATGCTGGAGTGGGATGGGTAGGAAGGAGAGGATGTCTGCTGCAGGTTTTTCTCTGCATCAGCCTTCTCTGTCGTGGGGTTTTTTTTTTTTCCCACTCCCGAGGCTGGCTGCTCACTAGATTGAACTCCATTTATTGCATGCATCTCTTGAAAGAGGTTTCGTGGTCCACTGACAATCCCTAAATTGCCTGCAAGACCCAAACAAATGTACCTGTAATAGCTGAGTGAGGAAGGCTGAACCCTCCCCAGCACTGGCCTAATCGTTCCCAAGGGAGAGATGGATAAACATATTCAGATCCAATGAATTATTAACAGTGTGGGTTTTTTTTTACATGGTGGAGCCCTGGTTTAGCATGTCAGCTGCTCATCCCTCCTAGGGAGCAGGGGCTGCTGTGTCCCTCCATCCCACTCGTGTAACCTCAGCACCATTGTTCAGATTTTGGGAATAAATCGGGACTGTGGGCAGGCAGACCCCCACTCCAAGTCATTCCCTTAAAACTTGCCCATTTTCCCCTTGCTGAGTGTTAGAACCTGTGCCCTGAAAACCACCGGGATAGGGACATCCTGGTTGCTGTCCCCAGTGCCCAGAAACATGGTGCTCTGGAGGGTACCTTGCTGAGATGGGTTTTGGAAATGATTTCTATGGGTGTTGGGCAGGAATATGGCAGGGCAGGTGCTGTCCCACGTCTGTGCTCAACACAGAGCTCTGTTAGTCTTGCTCCTTCCACCAGCAAACAAAAAATCCCCGAGAGAGAGGCAGATAGCAGGAACAACAAAGCAGGCACGGATCCAGGTCAGGAGGTGCGAATTAAAGGCCCTCTACCACGATAATGATCATAAATAAATACTTCATAATTAGCATCTACTTAGCACATCCCATCCACTGACCTCCAAGCGCTCGGGTAGCAGAAGATCATCCTGGGAGAAGATCATCACTGCAGAGCAGGGAACTGAGCAGTGAGGTGCCGATTGGAGGCTCATTGGAGGAGGTCAGAGCTCAGCCCTGCTCGTTCTGCTCCCCACCACTGCTCCCAGCTCCCCTGAGCAGGTCTGCTCCCCCAGCAACCCCAGTTATTCTGCTCCACCTGCTGCTTGGCCACAGTTCCATTGGGATGCAGGGGTACCCGATGGAGAGCAGCACGGAGCCCTCGGCGCATCACCCCCCATCCTGGTGCATCTTTTTTTTTGGGGTAACACCACTCTGTTCCGGAGCCCTGGCAATGCCATTCATGATGACACACACAGCACAGAGGAACACGGCGTTGGACGGAGCACAGCTAAGAAATCACCGAGTTGCCCACGATCAGCAACACCTGAACAAACGGCTCGCCCGTCTCACTGTCAGCCCTGTCCTCACCCTGCTCCTCCTGCCTCCCAACAAATACACTGCTGACATGTCTCGGCTTATAGCGTGCCCAACCAGCTATCTGAGTCCAAAGCAGGCAAGGGAGAATGAGACTGAATGCCTCTTGGTGTAAGAAAGAAAAAGACAACGAGAGGAAAGGAGAAAAACCCAAGCACACCAAAGCAAAACCAGCACAAAGCAACGACCATCTCTGCTCCCTTCGCATCACCAAACTCCCCACTGCTGGAAGGAGGCGCTGGAGATTCGAACAGAAATTATGACAACATTTAGGCTGGTAGAGGTGAGCAGCTCCCACCCTCCTCTCCCACCTCCTCATCTTTCAGAGCAGCCCACGTGGTTTCCTACCTGTGACATTGACTTCCACCAAGCCCGACCGCGTGCCGATGGCATTGGAGGCCTCACAGATGTAGGTGCCAGCCACGCTGTAGGAGATGGGGCCCTTGAAATAGATGGTGTTGTTCTGGATTTCCACACTCCCTGGCAGAGTCCCGTTTGGCCTGGGAGAAAAAAAGATCATGCTAGACCCCCAGGATGGAAAACACGGGATGGAATTCCAGCCTAACCCTGCTCTATCCTGCTGTCCTGCCTGTAGAACTCCTGGTTGATCAGCCAGTGTTAATTGCAACCTCAGCTTGAGTAAAGCAGCACTGATTTACAGTCTGGTCTGCCCATGTCAGGAGAATCAGGTGAGTGTGGAAGTGGAATAATGCAAAACTATGTCTAGAGGTACACAGAATAAATGAACAAAGGCAGATAAAAAAAATATTAAAAGCCTGTGTGTTAGGAAAACGACACACATGGCCTGGTTATTCTTAATTACTGAAGCAAAGTAAAGTAATTACTTCTCTTAGGCAATTAAAAATTACTCAAGTAATTCTTTCCCCTCCTCTCAACAAAAATGTGCCATATTGCTGGCAATTTGTAAGAAACAAAAGGGAATAATGGGGTATAATTACATTTGCAGAGTGCCTAAGTGCACACACACACATTTTGCATGCCTATATATACACACGTATGGCAAATTAGTCACAAAAAGGGGCATTCTTTCCCAGTGCTGACTGAAGAACAGAGAAGCCCAATGTTGGTTCTCTGCCTGTGGGTGACTCAGGGTTCCCAATCTGCAAGGAGTTCCCAATCTAGATCTGGAAACTGCTGTGGGATGCTATGGGAGGCTGCCATCCCTCTAACAGCTCCACTGTTGCTCATCGCCGTCACTCCGCCTTTCCTCTCCATCCTCTTTCAGGTCAATAATCCTATATTCAGTCCTAAGCAACCCACTAAATGTGCAAAAGGGAGAGGATGGGAAATTGGATCGAAGCGCCGTTGGGCTCAGAAACCTGCCCTCGTTAATTCTGTGCTCTCCTCTCCATTTTTCTCCCCACAGGTCTTTCTTAAAGGAAAGTATTGATGCTCCTGGAAACCCTCAAAAGGACAGCAGGCTAAAGGCAGGCAAATGGCCATACAGAGAATTCACAGGACAACTGGCTGCAGTGACAGGGATGCTGGTGCAGTCGGCTGGGTCTGAACATGCTGAGAGCTGCCCAGTGCCCAGGAGCACAGCAAGAGCTCAGGCTCCAGCTCTGCACGTGAGAAACTGCAGGAAAAAGGGATGAAGCCACTTGCCCAAAAGCGGAGAGAAAACCTTGGCATCTCTTCTGCCTCGGGTGCCACCCGGGGTATCTTTGCCTCTAACATCTCCCTAGCAATGTTGAGAGGAACCCAGGGAGCCCCCTTGGAGCTTAAGCGAGCTGGCAGAACCAACAGAGAGAGCTGGGGATGAGAAGCAGAAGAAAGGCAAGAAAAACAACCCTCTTCAGATTTGTATTGTGAACAGTTTGATCTGGAAGGGAAATGAGAGAGAATGTGCCTGGCTCTCCGCAAAGCCATTCTGAGAACCTCTCTCTGACAAACGCCAGCTGAAAAGAAGAAAGCATCCATTTGATCTTCTTTTTTTCTAAAGTCTTGTGAGCACTTATGGAAAAGAGAGGGAGAGAGAAGCACCTCGGGTTCCATCAATTCCCACCTGGCTCCCCAGGCACCCCTCGCTCACTGCTCGCTCCCATTGCTGTGCTCAGCCAAAAGCTGCAGCCCTGGAGGAGGAGGAGGAATTGCTTCTGCTTAATGTCAGATGTGTGGGGATGCAGTCGGCACCGTGGTCCCAGTGGGACTGGGAGCTGACCAAGCAAAGGGATTTCAACAGAGGTTCCTTGGTCCTGTTGGTCCCCTGTGCAGGAGGTGGGAATACTGCAGGTACTTACAGCTTCCATTCGTAGGTGTGAGCTGGGGGGTTGGCATCAGACTTGCATATCAGCTTGACATCTTTCCGATTGAGGAACCAGTTGCCATCGAAGCCCTCGATGGTGACTTCTGGCTCATCTGCAGCGGGATGACAGAGAGAGGGAGAAGGATGGGAAAGGAGGGGATGGCGTTAAGGAAAAGGAACGGGGAGGGAGCAGGAAGAGAGAAGGAGGCAAGGAGGGAGAGAGTGAGCAAAGGAGCGAGATGAAGGGAGGAACAAAGGAACATGGCAGAGGCAACGAGGGAAAGGAGGTATGAGAAAGGGAAACCGTACAATTACTCCAGGCATTCACCCTCCACAGAAAGAGAGCAACCCCCACTTCCCCCCCCGCACCAGACCAGCATCATCCCTTCACACAACTCACTTCCCCAGCCCCTCCAGTGTTTGCTTACACTGCACGTTGAGGGTGATGCTGTCAGTGAAGCGGTCCAGCTGGTAGTTGACCACACACATGAGCTGCTGCCGATGGGCTTCGCGGCTCGGCACCAAGCGGTACCGGCTGATCACCGTGATGGTGCCATTGCTGTTCCGGATCTCCTGAAACTCTGCTTCCCCTTTCAGCTTGGTGTCCCAGGTGACGGTGCTGGGGGGCTTCCCATTGGAGGAGATGCAAGTGGCTACCAAGATCTTTTCTGTCCTGCCCGACTTGGCGATCAGCGGCCGCGTGGTGCCCTCCATCCGATTCGTGGGTTTGGCTGCAAGGAAGTGCAGAAAAGGAGGAGGAGGAGGAGAGAGGAATACAAAGGGGTTACAAAAGCAATAGGAGATATCAAGCACCACTGCGACAGACCTTGTGGTGTATGCAGAGCTCCTGTAAACTGCTAGCGGCTGCTAGACCTGCCCTGGATGTATACATGAAGGAAAGTCCCTTCTTGCAATAGGTTTTCATCCCCATGTTAGTATGGGAAACCCAAATTGAAGAGCAAATGAATCATGCAGATGTTGGGTAGAGCCTGTTCACTCACAGCCTTCTGCTCCAAGGACAAGCTTTACTTGTGTTCAGGATCTGTTGTCTCTCCTCTCTGTTCACCTTACAGACACAGGGTGTTAAAACTCACCATGCCCTTAAGGGACAGGTCACTCTTATTCTACCTGCATTAATAAGATAGCTGGGGTCTGGGAAGAGGAAGAGACATTCCCAAGACAACCCAATGAACCACCTACTCTGGCTTCCCTGCTCTCCACCTCTTTATGGACGACGTGAAAGAGCATGAGAGGTGAAATTCACACCAAAGGCTCAACCTTTGCCCTGAGTTCCCAAGACGGGAGTCTCAGGTTCCTCCAGACCTGTTTAACTGGAAGCAACAGCTTGCACCACGGGATTGCCCAGTAGCTTACCCAGCACTGTGAGGTTCAGCTGACTTTCCCTGTTGCCGGTTGGGAAGGTGGCAAACTCGCAGATGTAAACCCCCTCATCCTCCAACTCGAGCCGAGAGAGCTGAATGGTGCCATCTTTGAAGGAAGGGTTCCGGAAAGTCACCCGTTCTTTGTAGGGAGAGAGGATGGAGACCCCCATGGCAGGGTTGTAAATGGCCACATTCTGCTTGGTGCCGTTGGTGACTTTCTGCCACGTGACCTGCGTGATCTTCACATTGGGGAGCGGGTTGGTGAAGCTGCAGTGCAGGACCACGTCTGTCCCAATAAATCCTGAGACTGTGTCATTGACTAAGACAGTCTGAGCTTGCAGCGCTGCAATGACATGGGAAAAGATGAATATACATACATAATTGGCCTAGAATAAGGAAAAAAAGAACAATTCTTGCATGCTGGGCCCATGAACAACTTCGCTTAGTCACCATGATCAGCCCTAAAGCTCTACAGCTACCAGGTTGGATCAAGAATACTTTCCTTTTGCCTTCAACCTCGGAAGGCATCGCATCATTTATTGTAAGTACACAGAACTTGTGTATCCGTAGGCACACGAAGGCACAGATATTTATCAGCACAGCGTGTCCCAACATATGCTAACACAAACTCAGACACCCATTTAATCCTATTGGAAGTGCACCAGTAATTAAATGAGCTGCAGAGACTGAGGCCTTGATTACAGAGCAGCAATAGCACCCACAGAAGAATGGATTTATGGCAGTGGTCATACACCTTGCATGAGCTACCTGTATGATCTGGGTGGTTTCAGTGGCCTTATTTTTAAGGACTGAGAGTAGGATCCTTCCATCTGGGTTCTGCAGAGGAAGGATGGAAGATGCTTGGGAGAAGCTGTGGCTGTGCTCCCAGCTGCTATTCTGTCTCGTTTGAGTCCTCCCCTGCCAGATGGAGAAAATGTCTCCCACCAGACTGACCCTGAAATTCATCTTTGGCTGCCACTGTGTCTTTCCCTAATCTGTATGTTTAGAGATAATGCACTGATAATTATACAGCCAGTATTTCTATGAGAAATACAAGGGGGAAGGAAGGCGGTGAGAACGAGAAAAGCAGGTTTTGCTCGCTGCTTCTGGCAGCATCTGAAACTGGATGTATTCTGGGAGACAGAGAGGAAAGGGAAGAAAGAGGGGGTAAGGAAAAGGGAAAGAGGTACAAAGAGGGAGAAACATGAAAAGGAAGGGAAAGAAAAAAGGAAATTGACAGCAAGAGAAACAGAATACATCTTTTAGCTGACAGGACGTGAACATGGCCATGGGTGTCCCGTTCCTGCAGCTTCAGTGCTCTCTCCCCTTCTCCTCCCCTGCACACTGAGCCCATGACCCCAAGGACAAGCCTCAGCAACCCAACCCAGCCATGAGACGCCATCAGCTGACCACAGTCAGCAGCAATTAAGACCGAAACTCGGTCTCTGGAGCTTTGTGTGGGCTTGCCCCCTTCCTGAGCCAGGCACTGGGCTGACCCACACCCTACACTGCAGCTGGATGCTGCTGAATGCTTCCCAGTGCTGCTTACAACCACAGCAAAGCACTGGTGCCCTCCTGTGCCTGTGTGCACAAAGCCATCGGGTCCTCAGAGGCCACAGGGCTGCACCTTCCCATCCCACCCAGATGCCATGCATGTCCCACCAGAAGGCAGAGGGAAGGGATGCTCGTGCTCCAGCGCAGTCACTGCTGGATGATGTCTCTCCTTGACAATTGGGGGAGGACGGTCAAGCAGCGAGACCCCACGGAACACCTTTATGACCTGTGACACAGCTGATGGAATGAGGTGCAGAGCAGGGCTGGATCTGGACCATGCAGTGCTAGGATTCCGGGAAAGAACAGGCGGGTGTGGAGCAGGGAGAAGCCTCTGACTTGCTTTGCAGCACAAGCTGCTCCTTCTAGCCTGGAGGTTTGAGCCCACACCTATGGAGGTGCACAGCAGCCCTGCCAAGCAGCCTGCCTCTGAAGCCCTCACAGCCTCCCAAGACATGTGGAAGCTTGCAGGAGAGCAACAGCAATCACGTAGCAGAGGCCCTGGGAACAACCTGCGCCCAGCTTGGGGCTGCCTGGCTGCCTGTGTGCTCAGCACGCTGCTCCTACCTGCACTGCAGCTAAGTGCATTCATTGCTCCCCTCCTCTCCCACACAGGGCTCGTGCTCCCAGGGCTGGGGAGATGGTACCACTGGCCCCATGCCCACATCAGCACCATGACCCCCCCCCACTGGATCCTTGGGACTCCAGTGGAAGAAACCACGTTGGTGGCAGCAGGATGTGGTGACTCCGTGCCTCCTGACAGTGCCAGACGAGCAGGAGACAGGCTGGACCTCACAGAGAGGATGGAAAGCCATCACGTTGGTCACCTTGCTGGGCATCCATAGGACAGGCCAGGATCTCTGGGGTGGGCAAGAAGGTCTGCTTGCAAAGCTATGCAAGCTTGAGGCCAAGGGATGGGCACCCACAGTGCGCCTCTTAAATAACGGTATCAAGCATGCTGGTGGTGCATATCATAAGAAAACCCAATCCACCCCCTCACCTCTGTTACGATGCTCTTTCTTTACGCTATGATTTCCCTGCAAATGAATGAATGACCCTTTTGTGAACTGAGTGCTTGTCCTCGACCTTGGGTGGGAGGAACAGTTCCCAGCTCTGACCTCCCCCTGCCATGGGATCCGTGCCTCAGCACAGACTGTACCGGGACACAAAACAAACTGGGTGCTGATGGAGCTGACCCTCAGCCAGTGAGGTCCCTCCTCTTCCCAGGTGCAAAGTGTCAAGCTCCGGGCTGGGGAAGAAACTGGTGCCAGCAGAGACTGCCAACAGCACGATGCTGCCAGCGCTGTTTTCAGGCCCCTACATGCAGCAGCTTTAACACAAACACATTCCAAACTTTCTAGAGGCTTCAGGGGAAAATAAAAAAAAAAAAAAACAAACCAAAAAAACCCAGCAAACACTGTGCGGAAATCATGTTTCCTTTCCAGGTGACTGAATAACTCATGGCTCTTTTGCAAGATGCTGTAAACTCCTTTTGTTCCGCTCCTCCAAGCTTCCCATCGGGGGAAATAAAGCACCCACTGCTCCGCATTGCTGCAGTAACACCCAAACCTCAGCAGAGACAACGGGTGACATAAAGGGGTTTTGCAAGGTGCTGGATCAGCATCCCGTGCTCTCCATCAGGAGCCAGAGGGCAAACTGGCTGCTGCCATGCTTGTGGGAGCATTGGTTTGCAAGGTGACTGAGCCGGGCCGGCCCTGTTACACACTCAATAATTCATAAGGGCAAACGCATCGCTTATTGATGGCAGCGAGCGTGCAAGCCAGGGCGAGGAGGAGAAAATAACATCAGCAATCAGCCTGCGGAGAGGCTTGGACATATTAAACAGGAGGGGTGTGTGTGTGTGTGCACGTGCACCTTGCTGCTGCTTTGCTGAGTGCTGCGTGTGGTCGACATGGCAGAGGAAAAGCTTTGGGATACACCCTGCATTGCAGTGCCCACCGATCCACCCCGACGGCTCCCGGGGCAGCGGCACATCAGTGGTGAGCTGTGTAGGCTGAAGCTTGCTGAGTTGCAGTTTACTCATTGTTTTATTTTACTTTTTGGTTGTTGTTGTCGTTGCTTGTGTTGTTGTTGTTGTTGTTTTTAAGGTAGAAAAAGCCCAGCTGAGAGCCAAAGACATGTTGGTGCCAAGCACTCATTAGCAGAGACCTCTGGGATGCTACTCCTCCACCTTGGCTTCTGAAGTGGTTTGTGCTGGTGCCTTTCCCCACGATCCCAAGCCCAGATAGTCACTGGGTCATGCCAGGCCTTAGGGGCCCTGTGCAGGGCTCAGGGTGCCTTATGTGGGGCTGGGCACCCTGGGTGTGATGTGCAAATAGCCTGCTGACCCTCCAGGCTTTGCAGAATGCTCCAGTGCCTAAAATCTTAGAATCATTAAGCTTGGGAAAGACCACTAAGATCTAGTCTGACCATCAACCCATCAAAGGCAGCAGATTTTGCAAGCGTGGGATCTGGTTCTTGCCCTTCCCCATAGAGAAAGCTCTGGAAATGATCTCCAAGCACTGTGCTCTGTCACAACCAGCTTCCGATCAATGCCTCTTTGTTAAGCACCATGTGAACTCCACTCTGCTTTGCACAACCTTGCCTCTGCAAGGTGTCTCACCGATTTCTCTCTCCTGTTCCCTGATACTCATCTCACCCCAAGGGCACTGAAACAGCCCTTGGCAGCACTGTGCTGAGCCGCCCTTCGCTGGGGCAATCTCACAGCTGAAGCAAATGTCAGAGGAATGAGTCCTAATAGACTTCACATCACTTAGAACTGAAGGGGATGTGGAGGTCACAGCAGCTGGACCTCATTAAAGGGCAAAGCAATGCATCATGCTCCCACCTATAAAAGACCTTGCACCAAGCACCTCATTCTCAGTTGGTTCCTTGCACTGTGAGCTCTAAAAGAGGCACTGTTCTGGCCTTGGGTTTGCATGCTTTTAGGCAAAGGCACTTCAAGAAGATACCCAGGAACTCTTTGTGGACGGAGAAATGGGACGGAGCTTTTTAGCAATTGGTGAGCTTTGTGTTTGGCTTTTTTTTTCCCATTTTTTTCTCCTCCTGGTATTTCTGAATTCCTATTTCAATCCCTTCCTATTTTTACATGGAGATCAAGGCTTGAAATGAAGCTTTCCCAGGGCAGAATGCAATCAGCCTCCAGCAGCCCAAGGGAACACCACAGGTGTGTTAAGCAGGGTGAGACATGGGAAAGAGGATCCCAAATCCTGGGAGGGGAATTTCAGGTGGCAGGATGCAAAGGTTTGAAGTGGTGCTTGGCTGAGGTGTTGAGGTTAATACCTTGCTTCTTACCAAGGAGAGAGTTGGTATGGATTGCCAGGCACTCAGAGCAGTGCTTGCCTCACCCTGCTTAGTCAGTGCATGCAGCCCGCTGGGAAGGAGTGCTGCCTTTGACTCATGGCCTCTGCTTCCTGCAGCAGCATACTTTTACTGGAAGTCTTTGTCATGCTCTGATTCACCTTAGCCCCCAGTGACTCTCAAAGGGAACAGGAGGGGAGGGCTGCCTTCCCAGAACATAGGAGATGGGGCTGCAGATCAGAGGGCAGCTGCAGGTGGCAATGCTGCATGTGGAAGTTGAAGCTTGGAGGTGGCACTGTGTTGCAAGAACTGCAAGCATCCCTTCCCCCAGCCAAGAGCTCAATGAGCTCTGACAGGAGGTAGCAGCCCTACAATGGCCCAGCTGGCTCTATCCAAATAGGAAATGCAGGGCTCTGTTCTCTAGGTCACTGGTTCTTATCTGGCACCAGTGCATTGTAGCAGTGGGAATAT